CCTCTGCCAGCTGAACGGGAAAGAGAAAAAGAAAGAAAAAAAGAAACTGCAGCTGCCTGTCTTTGGACTACCGACAATCGGCTTCCGTAGGTCTCTCTCCTCCCTCCCCTTCGACTTCTTTTGAATTTAATTACTTGTTCCGGTTCTTAGCGCTGTTTCTATCGCTTCATCGCCATCCTCCTTAGCAGTTATTATTATTATTATGTGTGCCCCATGTTGTGGCATTGTTTAAAGTGTTCTTTTGTCGCACACGTATCCGCAAAACCGATTTGAATTTCGTAAGAACAACATCAACCCCCAAAACTGTGAACCGAAAGATGACGCAGTTCCGACATCCGTAAGAGGAAGTAAGTGTCCAGGAAATTATCGTTTGTAATCTGAATAGTGAGATACTCTTTGCAGGTTCTCAAATTCGGTAAGAGGATTCTCTGGGAGATCTAAGATCCTTAGTTTTATAATAATAATGAGTCTAAAATCATTGATATTTTACACTTAAACATTCCTGACAAAGCCCGTAAGACCCGCCTCTTTCACTCGTCAAAGAATTTGTGAATTCAGCGAAAAGAATTGCGTAGATCCGCTTGAATTTCATTGAGGCGACAACGGAAGTCATAAGCCATGAAGGCTTAACAATTGAGGCAACCGGCGAAATAAAAAATAATACTTAAATCTTGCACTTAAATGCTCAGGCAGGCAGGCAGTCAGTCTGTTTTGGGGGGAAAATAATAATAATCAAGAAGAAAACAGAGAGAAACAGGGGCAGTGGCGACACCCTTACCCACTTAAACTTAACTCGCAGCCCATAAATTAGGCAAGATCAACAACAGAACCCGGGAGGGGATCGAAGTGGTCCAAGGCAAACAGCTACTATATAGAGATACTTTTGTATATACATATATATCAGCTTGTATAAAAATCGAAAACTGCAAGAGCCCAGAGGCATTTAATTAACAAAAACCAGCAGTAGCAGCGCCTCGAATGAGCTTTCATTTCCGCTACAGCCGCAAACACTTGAGGAATGAATGAAAATATTAAAAGATATCGATCGCCGCTCCTCGTTCCTCGTTCGATCTCCAGCTCCAGCTCCATCTCCCGGGGAGCTGCAACCGAAAACTCTTTCTGCCACCAGATTTCTGGTTTCTCTGCGGTTTTGCTCTGGCTTCGGATTCGGAGTTCGGGGTTTGCTGTTTGGGTTTTGGGTCTGGTTAAATGGCAACAACAGGCCACAAAATAATATCTATATACACATATGCAAGACGATCTTGCAAGTGATCTGCCAGAGTCCAGAGTCAGTCCCCTTGGCTTTAAAGACCGTCTTTAGGCAGTAGCCAGAGTTGAGACATATACAGTGGAGATTCGAAAGGTTTTTTAAATAGAAATCAAAAGTTATTTGGTAAATGGTAGAATATTTATTTATACTATATATTTTTTAAATTTTTTAAAATTTATTTGTAAATGAATTGGTTACGATTAATCCACTCAGAAAAATTTGAATTAAACGGTTCGATAATACACCTTAACTTGAGGTTAATTTATTATTTTGAAGTATATTATTTATATATTCAAAATAACCCGTTTATATTAATTTAAATTAATAGTTATATTAAACCAATACAATAATGGTTTTGAAGGTGAGATCCGTTTAAAAAAGTCTTAATATTTAAGCCGAGCTTTATTTATTATTTGCAGGGTAATATACTTTCAGTCAGAAGCTTAAAACTCAGTGACCCTATAAATCATAGATATTCTTGATCAGCATAAAAATCCAAATCGATCTAGCCATGTCCGGTCAAAAAAAAATTTTGAAATTTTTTTTAAATTTTATAAGGGGTTACAAATATTCAAAAATGTGGGAAAAAATTAAAACTTTTAAAAATGTCAAATTTAGTATGCCGATTTATTAACCTGGTAAAAACTAACACAGAACAGCTTTCCGAATTAAAATTATATTTTTTTTGGCTTAGTTATGAGTTTTTAAAGTTTATTCTAGTCTTTAAATCAATCTTTTAAGATCCTTTAAAGATGATCTCAATACTTAACATTCTCTATGCTTTTATAAACCCTAAAAATATAGATATTATATAGAAGTTCAACTGTAGCCATAGACATTTCCCCTCCTAAATAAATTGCTTGTAGACCCAAACACATTCAGTTCGCAACGTCCATATGTTAAGTGACTGACGGATTTGGATTTGGCGCTGGGTAACGCCTCCAACTTCCGTTTGCTGTTTTGGTTTTGGTTTTGGTTTTGGCTTCGGGTTTTTTAAGTGCAGAGGCAAGAGGCGAAATAAATGTATTCCCCGGTCGGGAAAGAGGTAGAAGTGGCGGCAGAGGCAGAGACTGGATGCAGATGATCGCTGATCCGGTGGAGTCACTCGCCTGGATGGGGAATGGTGATGTCAGTCAGTGGGAGATGCGGATGCGAGGATGTGCGAGAGTGGGGCGTGTTTGGCTTAGATTGTGCCTCTTCGATAAAGTGAAACTCTTTGATGTACGAGCATTTTGGGGGCAGATCGAGGCGGATCTGATGAGACCGGAGGATAAACAAACGGCCCTGAGGCCTGATCGTATGGGATCAGATCGGATGGGATCGCTGCTTAATTAGCCACCGTGACCCTCAGGTAGATTGTTGATTAACAATTGGATATTCTTTTGGGGGAAATTTTTAATTGAATTTGAATCGAGAAAGAAGTGGTTGGATTGAGGAAATGTATTCCCATTGAGATCATCATTATTTCTTTAGATAAAATTGGCCTTCTTTAGATTTGTGTTGATGTTTACCCTGAGGAAAATGCAGATATTGTTTAAACTTTAAACTTTCTGGGGGAATCACTTCCCTCTTTTTAGTTAACCCCAAGACCACTGAACCCTTTCTCTGACCTGTCATTGATCCCTCACCCTGAGATTAACCCCAACGAACTCTGCCTGCAGACATGATATCCTGTTACCACATTTTGACACTTTGCAAACGACAAATAACCCCAATTGTCGAGGGTTAAGGGTTGATCCGTCACCTGTTCAATGGCAAACCCCAAAAACGAAACGAAAAGGAAGTGGAAGTGGTTACATTGGATCTGTCCCTGCTTTCATGTGTGAGAACGGATGTGTTTTGGGCCAGTTCGAAACAATTACGCGAAGAGCAGAAACAAAAGCCGGAGCTCAAGTGATCAGAGTGTGCTGGGCCTGCTATTACAGATTTAATTATATAATTAATAAATGTAATCAACGACCGGGGAGAGAGAAAGACAGACGGACCATCTGGCAGGCACCACCGGCACGCATGCGCAGACACACACACACGCTGAGTAAAGGAAGTTGTCGCTTTCAAAGAAGCAAGAAGACAAGGGGCTGCCACAGCAACCTGGAGGAGAGACCCCAACCCTTTCCTTCTGGAGCAGAGAGTGGAGCGGAGCTCCCCCAGCTGCGAGTCAACGGAAATCGCAAAAGGCAAAAAAGCGACAAAGCAGCAACGACGACGATCAAGACGATGGCCCAGCATTCTTGGGCAGAAATGAAGTGCAGATCTAAAGTAGAATTGGATCAGGAAGGGGTTCGGTTTGGAGCAGGAACAGGAGCAGGAGTAGGGGCTATGCCAGGCTATCACATGTGTAAGACCGTGGAGGAAGCCGAATGAGATATTCCCTAGAGAAGGTGGAAATTATATTAATATTATATATTAATATTAACTCATCTACAAATGAAGTCATGTTCTACAACATTTACAAATAAATTTGCCCACTTTTGTTCCACTTTTATCTAGCTTTCCCTTTCATTTAATAAAACAAAACCTCTCTTGAAATATCTTAGGGTATTTTCCCCGTACAAAAATCCGCTTTAAAGCTGGGCAAAAACTAAAAAGCAAAAGGCAAAAAGACACACAGAGCTTGGAGGAGCTAGAGGAGTTGAGGAGGAAGACGTTAAAAAGAATGACGATGAATGACGGGAAGCGCACAGCTTAGCAGCGCTCTCTTGGATAATTGAGGAAGTTATAATTGCCAATGAATGCCCCTTCTCTCCACCAGCACCAACTTCAATCTCCGGAGCTCCTTCGCCTGCTAAAAAAAAGAAGTCAAAAGGAAGCAGAACATAAACCCTTTGGCACAAGATCGAAGTAGAAGAAGGTAGCCAAGTCCAGCCACTTGGCTTGGAAAGGAAACAGTTGTTGTCTTTGGCCAAACGGGAAACAGGACATGTCGGTGCATAAATTGAAATGAGTGTCGTCTTCGATGTCGTTTTATATATACTTCTTTTTATTTTTTTTCTCTCTTCTTAACAACCATCAACGGAAGGACCGCAGTCGCTGTTGCTTATTATGATGGAATTTCGAAAGCATTTTGCGTCGCAATTTGTTCTGAGCGATGAGCTAATAATTATTTGCCCAGCTAACCAACACACAATTGAACTATCCAAGGAGAATAAATATGCTGGTATATATAGGGGAATATAATGTAGAGGCCTTTGCACCACCTGTGCAAACAATGAAAAGCTCTTACTGTTACTCTCTCACCCTGCCAAAGGTAGCAAATCAAACAATCAGCTCCATAGGCCTCCTTTGAATACTCGATACTTGACACGATTTCGAAGACAAGGATTTCCATTGTGCGAATAGAACAGCCCCCGGACAACCACGATGATCTACACTGTTCCTATCCTATACTATATATACTTGTATATATATCTCTTATATTTACGCTTTTATAGAGTTAGGTTGAAAGGAACCTTTTGTGGTGAGCAGAATGCATGATAGTTAAATATTTGCTAGGGAATGAATAATAATAGATTGCAAGCAGAGAGAAAAAATGTAAAATATGATTAAAATATGAACAAATATCTGAGATCTAGTATCTTTTACTATCCTTAGATCTTTCTCACCACCCCAAAACTCATCACTTAATATCTTATAAAGTTCGAGCTTACACCATAATAATTTTCAATAGATATCTTATCTATAACACCATAATGAACTATAATTTAGAATTATTTTCTCAGTGCACACTTACCTCCTTGCTGGGCACACAAATTGGAGTGCCCACTTTGACAATCCCGTTCTCCACCATCACGCCCATCACGATCGGATCTCGACTGTTGAATATGAAATGTGGCAGTATCTGTGGATCGAAGAGATATAGGAAGAAACGAAGGAACGGAGAATTATTATTAGATCAATGACTGTTAGATAGACCATGATTTTCTGGGTTATAACTAATAAGCGGCTCAGTTGGGAACGATCGATAACAATGGGCCGGCTTTAGATCTTAACTACTTTTTAAATAATGTCTGATAATTATGGTGACTGAGGCGATGCCAGCAACGGATTTTAGGAGTTAGCATAACAACTTTAAGTCAATGGGGAATTATTACACTTTTAGATGGAGTTACTACTGCGTTTTAGTGCTTATTTAAAGATTAAGTACCATTTAAATGTAAAGACATATCTTAGAGCATAATGTTTGCTTCTTTCTTAGAGTTTTTTAAATCATTTTAGTTTCTCTGACTTAAAATCTATATAAACTATATTTCCTAGTGCATCTTTTCTATCGTGGCAACCAAGTTTCCAGAGTGCAAGTAACCCCAGTCTAAAAACCACTTTGACTATGGCAAGAACAACTTAATTTCCGTTGCGTCAACTGTTGAAGAAGGCCTCAAATGGGATGTGCCGCCTGCAGCACAATCAGAGTCAGGCCAGTGAGCTCTGCCATGGAAAATGGTTCGTACATTGGCCAGGGAAAATAGTGGAGAAAAAAGTGGTGGCCAAAGAGAACACGTTTTCCCCCCAACTCCCATTTCCATCTGGCACAGGCGGCACACATGCACCAGCTCCCAAGCCCAAGTTCCTCTTCTAAAGACAGAAGGCGAGTTAATAACTCAAACTAAACAACGTCATTGTTATTACAAGACCAGCGACTGAGTCTTGGCCCCTAGAGAATGGTTGTGTTCAAGCAGGGAATATATGCACAGGGAAAAATGAACATTAAATATCTTTAAACTATATATATATTCATTAAAGTAAAATACATACTGAATACTTGTCAAAGAAAGAATTAGGCTTTATATAAGATGCATAAAACCATAAAAGGTTCTAAAACCTATTCTCATTTTAAAGATTTACTTTCTAGCCATTGCTTTATATTTATTATATCTTATTTATAGTGTAGGAGAGAGATCCAAAGATCTAGAGAAGGAATACAACTATAACAGCTGTGCGCTGTGTGTCCAATTACCAGCACAGTGGGAGCCCAGTGGCCAGAAGTGGTCCAGAGTGGATCCAGAGTGCGGTCCAAAAGTGGCCCCGAGTGGAGTGTGGCGTGTGTTGAGTAGTCTCAGCATTGCATACGACCGAAATCTAATGATTGCCTATAAATCAAATATGCTGCTTAAACATTATTTGAGCAGGAAGTGTGGACGTGATGCAGGCGTCTGTTGGGATCCAAAGGCTTTAATCGCTTGCTGAGTGGCTTAGCCCGTCTATTGGCTATTTCTTGTTGGCCAGCATCATTAAGCCAGCGTCGAGACGAGACATGAGGGAGAGACTCAGCTGGAGACCCATTCTAGGGGACTAGTAACAACACCAGTCACAGTTCCCAGTTCTCATTTTCTTTAGAGGCAGAGATTGCATTTTACACCTGTAGCTTTCGGGGGTAATTGCAGAAATGGAACACGAACATACCATGGCATTAAAATAATACCCATAATGACAACGAAATCTTTGCGTTTCCGTCTTTAATTTAAAGAAAACTGATGAGAACACTAGAAGAAATTAGTGTGACTGGGAAACTATGGTAGCTTTGATTATATACCTAAGGGGGACTTTTCTTGAGACTCATTAAAGTTGGAAAATATATGAAAATACTATTTTTAAAACTTTTTCTTTATCTAAAAACAGTTCTTAACTCTCTAAAAATTAAAATTACTCTACTTACCCTTAGCTTGCAGGGAAATACGGCAACAGATCGGAACTCTTCGCGTTTCTTCTGCTTGAGCTCCTCTCGATAGGTGGTGAACTTGTCGAACAAATGATAGATAATGTCCGCTTGGAATATTTTCACGCCCAAAGAATCTGCCATTTCCTGTGCCTCCCTCTCAATTTTCACATCGAAAGCCAGAATCGTTGCATACCTAAATGGGCGGACGAAAAACAAGATGAATAAATACAGAGATATGGAGGAGAGGCCGAGCAATTTAAAACAATTAAAAGTATATGCAGTCAGAAGCAGCAACGAGCATAATAATAATAACAATAATAATACGAATAATGATAATGACACCACTGCAACAGCAGCAGCAAAAGCAGCAATATCTCTGCTCTTCCTGTCTGGCAAAGACAAGAGTTGGCCTAATGATCTGACAGAGCCAAGGCACCAGGAAGCGTTAATAATTGAAATCACAACAACCCCAATGGACAACACAAATTAAATCCAAGAGATCTCTGCGCGGCTGTTTGTTTAGCTTGGTTAACTTTTGCCTTGTGTGATGGGGCTTTCAAATGACAGGAAATGGTTGGCATTTCGAGGAGAATCGAAACAACTCTCCAAGCCGACAGGAAAAGGTACCAAAGTCAACTAATGAGGGGCACTTTTGGGGATCTTTCTTGTTTATATACATATATAAAACATATAAAATTGAAGCTTAAAAGAGGCGAAGCAGTTTAGGAAAGGTTCCCCGACTAATCGAACTATGAGTTATAGGCTATTGATAAAGCCAACATAATTATTAAGGAGATATAAGGCCAGAAAAGGGTAAAGAACATAAGCTATTAGTTTGTGATATATGACTATATCTTCACTCTTTAGTGGGAAGATCCTAAATGTTGCATAAATAAATATCTTAATAATTGCCAGCCCCTAAATATACTTCCAATTTCAAACGCGATTGATCAAAATCCTCTCAAGAACCTTAAATCACTTTCGGAGTGAACAATAACTAATTTTATGCATAAAAGATCACATAAAAACAGTTAAGGATTTTATGGAGCGCACAGATATATGTATATTGAAAAAGGAAAGAGAAACCCATTGAAGAAGGCACTCTCCGCTGAAGGCAGACAATTTTTATGATCACTCTTGGCTCGGCAGCGTTAAATGCAAAATTTTATGGTTCGAAAATTCCAAGCGCGTAAAAATCATAAATAAATGAAGAGCAGAGTCAGCCAAGCCACACATAGTAGAAGATAGTGGGGGGAATGGGCAAGTATCTGGCGGATGCGTTGCCTAAAAGCGGGCATAACTCAGTGCGCGGTGCACGCATGCGCAGAAAAAAAAGGGCCAACAGCGACGATGTTGCGACGCCGGAAGTGAGTGCGTCAAACGGAAACGCTCCGTCTTGGGCCTGGGCGTAGATACAAGATACAAGATACTCTGGCCAGATACCAGATACAATTGTGGCTAGATTTCTATTATTTGTTACTCTTTTATACCCTGTAATTGAGCGTTAGAGGGGTATAATATACACAGCATAAAGAAAACAATACATTAGATAGTTTCTTTTGTCTTGTACTAAGTAAATATAGTTCATAGACTATAAATAGTTAAAAGTATGTACTGATTTTTAAAAAACTCAAGCCCGGGTATTCTATGGTCGACTTTGTATTCTATCTTTTTCTTTAACCCTATTTCTTTTCTTTATATATTTTTTTCTGTTCGAGGTTTTCTGTTTTCGCGCATGTGACAGCGTAATTTGAGTGGGCCGTAAATGTATCTGCAAGTCGCCATCTGTATTTGTATCTGCATCTGCAACGCCAGCTTTTGTTGTTGCCAAGCAGAGCACGAAAATAGTTTGCAATTGCAATTGGAAACTGGATAGGGGAGAGGCGAGGCCATCAGCCTGCTACCAGCAAAAGTGAAAGAGAGTCGGGAGAAAGATATATATATATATCTAGAGATATGGCATAATACGTGGACTGGACTATTTGGCACCACTTAACGCCGCTAATGAGACAAAAGCTGCCGGCTTAAAGGTTTTTCGCTCTCTATATAATAAATCATGGTCTGGTCTTTATCCCAAACCCCCCCAACTTTTTGCCGCCTGCAGCAAAGTGCATTTTGTGATTGTGATTGCCGCTAAATGAATCACTTAACCCGAACCCGACGAACGACCATCGGACATCGGACATCAGCTCCTTAACGGCGGCTATATCACACACGATCTTCAAAGATCCGCCCATATTGTGTTGTTTATAACTTGGCGGGTAGACGAAGCACAGGCAAGTTGTGTTAATGAAGTTAAGCGGCAATAAAATTGCATTGTTCGTTGTCATATATCAAAAAGTCGTTTATTCTTGCTCTTGTCCCTCCTCAATGTAGACCTCTTGCTGCTTTAAGTGTTCAAATATAAGACCCCCGCCTGACAATGTGGTTGTAGAGAAGGCTTTACCACAGATACTATATCTTGGAGGTCTTGTAAATGGACAGAGGAAGGTGTTACATGTTGGACACGTTCTTGGAAAGGAAGTTCTTAAAGAGAAATGATTATATAGAATACTACACCATTTATTAAATGTAATCTAAGGAAGCTAATTAATATCCAACAGACTGTAATTGAATTCCTCTGGTATTTCACTTTCAAAGAACTCTACGTGAACTAATAAATATTTATATATATATAGGTATATCGAGTGAATCAATAAACGTGTTCCAGTCATCGTCTCTAATTCCCAGCTGTCGACACAATTTTTTATGCTGTTGCAAAAAATCCCTCAATGGGGGAGTTCAATAAACTTCCTCGAAAGTGAATTTGATAGTGAAAACTTCCACTACAAAGGGATTTACTACAAAATTTCTGCATTCAGCAAATTCCCCAGAACTTTGCCGATATTGTATAATCGCAAATGACACATCCATCCGACAGAAAAATAACAACAAATAAATAAAGAGGGGAAAGTAAACATAGAAGCGATAAATAAATTGAGTTTACTTACTGCGCCTCGTGTTCCAACATAGTGGATGCCTTCATTACATCGCGTTTCACCACGGGACCAATTCGAATGGCAGAATACTGGAAATAAATAAATAAATACAAGATTTTAAATAAGATTAGGATTATATAGAAACAATATATAAAAACATAGTATAAACTTCATATATATTGCTTAAGCCTTACTTCTCTTCAAGAGCTAGCTTAATTATGCTTACAAATTCACCAAAAACTTTACTTTTACTTCAACAAAACAATATTAACCTGACATAGGATATAGTTTAGATATAATCCCGAAATAAATCAGACATGTAAACGTACTTTGCTCTACCAAAGTTATCAAGCATGTGGTTCCTAAACTTTTGCCTTTTATTAGTATGTACAACATACACGATTTCCCTCCATTTCTCTGGCCTAAAAGCATTTGACCCAAAGAAAAGTTTTCGACTATTTTTAGTCGCTTGGCCATAAAGAAATAAAAAAAAAAACAAAAATAAAAATCGAAGAGAAAAAAAAATCTAAACTAAACAAGCAGCCCACTAAAGTGAAACATTTCTCAAAGGCGGAGACACACTAGAGATTGAGAGAGAGAGAAAGAGACCTCCACCCGATGAGTTCATTCACATCGAAGATGTTCAATTTTTATTTTACTCGCTTGTATTTATTTTTTTGTATTTCGTCGCCAGATGATTACAAATGATCATTGATAAAAATAACAGCAGCAGCAGCAGCAGTGCGAGGCACTGACATGAATGAATGGATGGATGGTTGGACGGATGGATGGATGGATATATAGATGGATGGATGGATGAATGAATGAATGAATGAATGAATGAATGAAATGGTTGAGCGCAAAATGGAATTTGCTGTCGATAGCGACTTAATTGCGCCACCGGATATGCACGCGCCGGCGATAAGACCGGAATAATGAAAGACTCCACAATTGAACCCATTAACAACAACTCGTTTTTACACTCTCTTTTTTTACAGCCACGATATGCCTTGTGTAGTGATAAATTGAAATGTCGGCCTATCGACTAGATTAATCTGATTCATTTAAATGTCAGAGAGCTTATCTCACTCACATAAATTAACCAATATTTGTTAGTGCAAAAGAAGCAAAGTTTAAAAGCTTAAGATAAAGTGCTACTGGTTTTCAGAGATACTTAAGAGACTTTCCTTATTTTTTTGGTAGAATTTGTAAAAGTATTTTGAAATAAAGTAAAAAAGAAATCTTGAAAATTATTATTTTATAAATGTTGATAGAGAAAGAAGTTAAAATTCATATTACCATACAAAAATCGTTATTTTTTACTCATTGTCAATAGAACTACCTAAAATTAATTTAATTTCCTTGTAATTTCTCAATTTGATCAACTTAAGAAATAACCCGAAAGGGTTATCCAACTTCTCAATGCAAAATAAGATCGATTTAAGCCCCACCAATTTCCTGGTAAATTCATTTTTAATTAAAATACACTCAAATTCTGATTTATCAAGGTTCCCCCTTTTAAGAAGAAATTAAATCACAGTATTAAAAGTTCATATAATGTTTTATTTAAACATTGTAAACAGTTTCCTCTCCGTTGACGTCATACGAAATTGCTATTTTTCTGCCTAAGTGCCTTCGATTGTAAGTCGAATTCAATTACAGCTTAACCCATTCACAAGCTTTTTTCATTCATTACGGCGAACTCGACGCTCTTATAAAAGAAATTGTGTGTGTAACTAACGGCAAGGCGAATATATACACAAACAAATGTACATACAGTACGAATAAAAAAAAAAAAAGTAAAAATAAATAAATACCGAGAAAAAGCCGGCAGAGAGAAAGAGTTTTGCAATCAGCAAAACAATGAATGAAATCGGAAGTTTATTGTTGTGTGCAAATTGTGGCACAGAGACCAAAGTCTTGCATGTAAAACGGAAAACGGATGCAAACGGAAGTGATAGCGAAATGACCCATACCCTTACCCACCCATGCACTCAACAAAAATACATATTACTCAGAAAATATATGTATTTAAGGGGTTCTTCTTGTTAAAGAACAAATAATATCACAAAGTGTAAACTAAACAACATTGTTGAAGAAAACCTGTAAAACAGACCTGTCTAGATCGATTCGCTTAATGATTTTAATCAAAAATACATATACCTTATGACTTCAGAGACGTTTTCTTGCTTAAGAGATCATGTGACATATTTCAAATTAAATATATAGATTTATTTAAAGTGTTATTTTTGTTGCCATGGAAGAACTGATGCCGAGTGGAGCCCTCAGCTTGTGTAGGCTGATGGGTACAATGGACCATTGGACCATTCCACGTGGCAGTTGGCACACCGATTTCCAACTGAATATCATTTCGCACAAACAATCAGAACGTGCCCCACTGACGCAGCAGCACTCGCAATCGACATCAGAATCGGAATCCAAATTGGAATCGGAATCAGCATCAGCAGAAAGACCAAAAGAAATTGGAGATGGGCGGCGGAAAGGCGTTCATTCATTTATTCATTCATTCATTCGTTCGTTTGGTTTGCCTTTTGCCTTTGGAAATGCGCAGAATTTGTGGGCGGGAAGTGCGTAAGTGGCAGGCAGGAAAACGCACGGACGGAAAGCTAATTAGCAGAAGAGCTGGCTCAGCCACCCACCGCCCACCGTTGGCATTGCTGATGCTTTTCCACCTGCTGACGTCAAGTGGGAACGCCACTCAGTGTTATCGATGACACGAGAAAGTCGAGTCAAGTCGCAGGGAAAGCCAAGACAGGTGCGTACACAGAGGAAAATACTAATCGAAATAGAGGCAAAAGTTTAACAAATGATAAAACATGTTCTTAAAAGAAAAGTACGCTAGGGTATATAGAGATTTTTCAACCCTTTCCGTTCGGTACCTTGAGCGTATCGCTATTAACCTAGCTTGCAGCCAGAACTAGTTGAGAATTTTAGTAGAAATTGGAACCCCTAGTGATCCTTCAACTCTGTTCCTTTAAAAATTTCCTTTAAGCTTTCAACAACAATTTTTTAAGAATACTTTTCGCTCTCATAAGCAACCCATTTATCTAAAATCTGTATCTTTTCTCTCACTGCACAAAATCGATTGTTTAGAGTTTTTTTAAACGCAGCCAATGATGCCAAATTTGATGGAAAACAACTAAATTAATGGCATGTCTGCCGCATTGACTGACAGACAGCCTAAACAGCTGATTAATGTCAATGAGGGGAACAACCAACGTTTTTTTCCTTTTCATTACGGAATTGGAAAATTATGCCCGATTTCGAGAAAATGCCGCACGTTGAGCGTAAACTTCCGTTTCGCTATTCGGATTCTAACGTTTTCTCGAGTTGAGTATGTAAAACAACACATATATAGAAAGATATCTATTATTTTCATTTCGCTTGCGAGGTAGCAACTTCCTTTCCTTCAACTGTCGTCGTCGTCGTCGTGTGTTGGGCATTTGATTTCATTGAAAATGCGGCCGCTACGTGTTTATGAATGAAAATTAAGCAATAAGCTCTTTGAGCGTATCTGTGAGATACACTGTATCTGTGTGAGTGGAATGCACAGGGAAAAATGTTGTACAAATTTGTAAATTGTTTAACAATATATTCCTTAGCAGAAGTAGAGTCAATTCAATGAAGTCAATTTTCCACTGTGTCCGTTTTTAATCGTGTCCTTTTATCCTTTTCCAAATTGTGTCCGTCTTCAAGTTTGTTCTTCTGTCCGTTTGTCAGTCAATTCATTTGTCTGTTTCTCGGTCTCTCCGTTTGTCCTTTTCTACATTTATTAGTATGTTAGTTCTTATATCTATCTATTATTATTAAATAAATATTTAAATAAAAATCTATTAAATTCCGAAAAATAATTCCTACAACATTTTATGTAATATAATATTTTTCAGTGTATTTTATCTCTGTGTGTGTGAGGCAGGAAGAATTGTTTCCGTTGTTGTTTCTGCTTTCGTCTTTCCATTTATACATTCATTCATTTACTCATTCACTTGGGTTGTTCACTCATTCATTCATTCATTGTTTTTCTCTGTTTTTTCCCCTCCTCTTCCTTCCTTCGGGGTTTTTTTTTTATTTTCTTGTGGGGCAAATTTGTTTTTGTTGTTTTTGGCAACTGCGTCGCATTAATGAAAACATTGGCATTGTCTGCTTCTTACCTCACTTCCTTTCATCCGCCTTAATACCTCTCTAGTACTACGGGGCACGCTAAACATGGGAAAGGCTACGCCGAAAAGCAAAAACAACCACATCGAAATGAAATTCATTCATGAAATTCAGCAAAAGAGTGGAAGAAGCACCCAACAATGGACATTTCTGGGTCCGGTCTGCTCTTCAGCTCTTCCTCCTCGGATCTCTGGTTGCCATTTATGAATGGGCCAACCGAAGAAGACGTCACGCCACTGGATCCACCTAGTTTTTATGCCTTTCAGCATTTCCCCAAAACACATATATTTTGCGTGGTATTTTTTTTAAGCTTTCCACTGAGTTATTGCGTTGTTTTTTTGGTAGAGAGTTATTAAAGGGGTAGGGTTTTAGGTTGTAAGAAGTTTAAGTGATATTTTAATTAATGGTATGCCATCTAGAAATAGCTAAATTAAGTTAGAATGATATCAAAAATAGTCTAGATAAATTTCTTCCCAAATTTTAATGTGATTATCATTATCATGATTAGTAACGTTTTAATAAGAGTTAAGAACCTTCTTATGTATAGAATCAAAAACTGCTCTCAATTGGGAAATAAATTACATTTCCCAACTTTGCTAAAATGATATGAATACTTGAATATGTTTCATTAAAATCATTGCTTTTTCACCAATCATTTTTTCTATAACTAATCGAAATCCATAGTCCAAATTTGTGCCTTGTGCTAGAAGGAAAACCCGACCAATAATATGGCTAATTATTTCCACATGCAAAGGCGATGTTAATGTCCACCCAGACAAATGCTGACCAAAGTGGCTAATTACCTTAACTACTGGCAGCTTCTGCCACAGAGTTTTGTGAGTGTTTTTTTAGTGAGTGAGTGAGTGAGTGAATGAGTGGGCGACACACCGTTGTTGGCAGTGGAAGTGAC